GGGGGGGGGGGGGGCACAACAGGACTTGTGAGGGAGTAGGGATTTGGCCACCAAGTAAGGAGAAAAGTAGCGGGTGGTTGCCAGGCAGGTTTGTGTGGCTCTGGGAGGGCACACGTGTGCTGGGGGATGATAGGGGGTAATGCCTGAGGCTGATCAGCCCCGGGTGCACTGGAGAGAGGTGTGTGTGGAATCAGCCCCAATGGGAATAATTAGGAAGGGGAGCCCTTGGCAAAGTGTAGGAGGGAGGAGAGGTTGGAGCCAGGCAGACGACCCAGCATCTATCCTTTGTGGGGGGAAGGAGAGAAACATTCGTGCATGGCACTGCCTGGCAAGAAGCTATTTGAAATGGCAATTTATTTATGGTCCAAATTAAGTTAACACTTTACACGAGCTCATTGTCTGAAGGTGATGGGGGGTAAGGGCAGCAACGAGTGATTTGGCTGCTTCTCCCCCCTCCCCACCCATGTAAATATCTGGTTGGAGTAAGAGCTCACACTGCTGCCGCTGCTAGCGTGTTGGTAGGGAGGCAGCTCCATTAATCACTCGTGGGGGGAAGGAGACCCGTAGCGATGTCTCACTGAACCCACTCTTTTGCCTTTTGCAGTGGCAAACCGCTCCACACAGCGTTCAGCAGAGGATCACATCGCCGGGACATGGCGCAAGGAAATAATTATGGGCAGAGCAGCAACGGGGTGGCTGATGAGTCCCCGAACATGCTGGTGTACAGAAAGGTAGGAGGCTCATTCCGCATCTCTCCTTGCCAGCCCCGGGGGAATGCAGCTCGAGGGCAAGTCTAGCTCCTGATCTTATGCCCTGTGAGACAGGTGATAGCATTAACCCTTTGCTCCACGTCTCTAGATTCAGACTGCTGCTGTTACTTACCCTGAGCGATTTCAGTGCAAGATCAGCTGATATCAGCTCTCAGCTGTGCTTCGGATTCTCTATGGTGTGCGATGTATACTTAAGTGCAGGACGTTAGTGTACTGTTAGTGGCAACAGTACACAGGAAAAGCAGCTCCAGAGCCTGGTTGCTGCTTCTCTGGTGAATTTTAAGGGGGAAAAAAATCGAATCTGTTGCTCTACCTTTTTCAAATGCAGGTGCTTCTGCCAACTTTAATATGCATTTGAGAGCATTGGTTCCTTAATTCATGTTTTGTGCATTCATTTGTGTTAACTACATCATACATTGTTCAGGTGGGTGTCCTACAGTATTTGTTGTGGTTCACCTGCTGCTGCTTTCATAGCTAGATGCAAATGTTAACTTCACCTGGAAGACTGGTAGAAGTATTCAATTCTAAAATTGCTTATTTGTGAAATGAGAGAAAACGCTTTTCAAACACATTCTCCCTAAAAGATTTGGCTAACTCTTTTAGATGGACATTTGCAACACCTATACAATAAGTTTAACAGAATGAATTGATACCTGATCTGAGGAAAAAATATAAATGTAAACTTGATCTAGTTGCCACTGGGGGCATTTTTAAAATGGATGCTCCAAGGGTTACTTCTTTGAATAGATTTCTGAATATAATAAATGTTTTAATAACAACATCAATAAACAAACTTCCAGACATTGAATTCCAATAATGGGATTTATTTGGCTACTGTGCTTCAATTAAAGTGGTTGCTTGGGGAATATGAGATGGGTTAGTGGAAACAAAGTATATTTAAACCAAGGGGCCAGTGCTCTCTTTACTTGGGAAATGGCCTTCTTGAGTAAATGGAATTAAATTATGATTATAAGAATGAAAAATTGAGAACTCTGATTAATGGGCAAAAAGAGCTTTTTTATATATCTGAACCCAAATGCATAAGGATTAAACTACACATTTACTCTCAGAATTTAGGTGCAAAATCAACACTGCCGTACAAGTTGAATGTTTTTGCAAATGAACTATAATAGAAAACAATTAACATATTCTCTGATTAATGTTAACACTACTTTAAATTGAAACAAATTGATATGTCACTAATAATTCTGGCAATTTTATTTTTTCTTTCCAGAAATTAGAAATCTGTTTGTCATACTGAGATATATTGCATGCTTTTCAGTTTTCAAAGATGATGCCGACTTCAGTGAAATTTATGGAACTTGGGTGCTAAATGTGAGTTCAGTGGTTTAACCTCAGTGGCCTGATTTTTTTTTTCTCAAAAGATATTGGCCATAACACCTACAATTTATACACAGCTGTAGTCATTGGCATCCCTTGCTGGCAACTTCTAAATTATACAAAAAAATAAAGAAGCGTGTGCACTACACAGGTGCCTACAACCATGAAGAAATAGTTATTGAATATTCCTTTCTAAAACTTTGCATATACTTGTATTTGAATCCATTCTCTCAAATGCCTAATGTTTAAGTGTACTGCATATATAGTAAAGAGCTATGCTTATAAATAGGAGAATTATGTAATATTTTTCATCTGCATGCTGGATGTAGTAAGTATTACATAGGATACCCCAAAATAGTTGGATATCATAGTATAATTCTTTAAGACTTATTGCTGCACTCAAACATGGTTTTGACCCCATGGAATTGATTATTTTCATATTTGTTGTTTCTGTCTCATGCTGAAAGCACTTCTCTTCTTTATATAGGGAAGCGTATATGGTGTTCACTTACTTTATAGCTTCTCTGGACATGTCCCCAGAAGTGGGAATGCATGTTTCCCTGTGCACAAGTAGCAGCGGCACTTGTCCCTGGGGAAGGCTTGTGCCTTGTGTGCTTTAGCACGCAGCTTGTTGCCCTGGGTGGGGTAGGGCAGGCTGGAGTCAGTAAATGTGCTGGCCCCCACAGCCTTACCTGGGGGCCTCCAGGAACTACAGCCAGGGTGCTCCTTCAGCAGGTAGCCTGGCTGGCAGCCAGAGTGTGGCTCTGGTTGGCCAGGCTCCGGTTCTGGGTGGCATGTGCTACTGCTATGTGTACCACCCTACGTTTTTTAGGCATGGGTTTTTTTGACCCTGGGACTTCCTGGAACACCTGCATGTGTGACGTGTGTGGTATGTGTCACTACAGATAGGTCTGCAATGCCACATGTCTGTGCTTGTCTGGATGTGCACTCTATGTTGTTGGGGTTTTTTTATGATAATTAAGTGGCCAGGCTTGGTAAATTTGTGTTTATCTTGATTGCATTTCTTTGGCTAAAATGCAATGAATGTTAAAATACATTGATTGTTGCATCTGATCAACTCCTAATTTTCTAGGAATGTTCTAGCTGTCAGTGGCTAGAACCCTACTGCACTGGGAGAGGAACAAGGAAAACAAAGTGGGGATAATGGAAGAGACGGTTTTCCTGATTTCAGTTTAGTAGAGCCAAAGCTTCAAGTACCTCTGCACTTGTTCATAGCTTAAGTAACCAAGTGGTGGCACCCATTACCACCTTCCAGAAAAACACCTTCATCTCATCTTTGCCCATACTTCTAATAAATGTTAATACCCTAACACCCAGACAGGTAGAAGCAAAAAGATAATTGTGTGTTGGCAGGAAGGGAGTGGAGGGGATGTGTAGCACGCTTAACCTTGTGGGAGGATATTTAGGGATTTTAGTAAACTGGGAATATTGAAGATGGGCATCTGTTGTGCACCAGGGGAAAAGAGGATGAACACAATCATTGGTATGGTGGGAAGAGCACAGAGAACCTTTGTTATGAGAAGTGAGGTGAGGTAGTATGCAGGGACTCTCTTCAATAGATAGGGAATGTGGAGAAACTGTGAAATATGAGGCCATCTTTTCATGTACTCTTTATGTATTTTAACTGCATGCAGTGTAATGTGGAATAGGCTTGTTCCTTTGATCCCTTTTATTATTCTATTTGACCTGCCAGACTATATTGATTGTGCTGACAGGTACCAGAGTCTTGGGAGAAAACTGCTAATATTCTTTCCTGAGGTCCTGCAACAATGTTCCAGGAAACAAGCAACAATGTAATATTTCATAGTGTAGGTGTTTAAAAAGCACAGAATTAAAAAATGATCTCAACCTAAGCACATTTAGTACAACTTACGTCGTGAGTGTAAAAAAGAGGCTTTTAAAACCTAAGTCATTTGATTTCAAATATATTACTAACCACCTTTAAATTTTTTTTTTTAGTAACAGATACTATATCATAAGATTTTTGTAACTGGAGAATGAAGTGTTCCTCCATATTTCCAAAAAGATAACGGAAGCAATTACCAAACCTTACTACATTTTGCTGTTGTATTAGAGATTAATGCATTGTGATGCATAAGAATAGTGCTGGCAAATTTTTGAAGGGCCATTTTTTCCAGTTAACAGCTACTTGAAAATGAGGGTAAAATTTGGGGTTGCTTGGCTTGTGGATAACTGAAGAGTTACAAATGAGAGTCATTCCACATTTGAGTATTATGGCTTAAATGTTTTTCTCCAACGTGTTATGCAGCCTCACTGTGTGGGATAGCAATCTGATATTTGTTCCCTCAAGTAGAGGATGAAACATATAATATGTCTTGTGGTAGGGAAGAGGCAGAACTTGGTTGTAGTGACTATGAAACAAATTCTTTACAGGAAACAAACACGATCTTTTACTTTCCCCTGGCCCTATAACTCTCAGCCAAATTTTTATGTTGTATAAACTAGAGTGTGTTGCAGCTCAGTCTCCCTGGACATTTTTACATGTTTTGTGGGATGTGGCACTGGGCACTGTAATTAACAAGACTTGCTAATTAAAAGTGCCCACATGTCATGTGTATCAGTGTCCCTGGGCTAAAAAAATGTTGATGGGGCACTTTGAAATAAAGCTAATTGAATATGTTTTATTTCAAAGCACCCCACCACCATTTTTTCAGCGCAGAGATGCACTGGGACCCTGATGCACATGATGTGGAAGGCTGCCAGAGCACATCAGTTTCCACGCTCCAGCAGACTCAATTAATTGAGTCTGCTCTGATGCACTGGATTTTCAGCACATCAGAGCAGGCTCTGCACATGTGTACAGAAGCCCCCTAAGTCCTAGCCTACTCACGTTAGGAAAGAGGTGGTAAACTTCTTGGCTAACCTGTGGCACAAATGTCACAGGCAGCTTCCATATGTGGCACACAGATGATCAGGGAGGGGATGGGCAACACAGCAGCAAATGGGACAGAAAGCAGAAAGCAGAGCAGGAGATCAGGCAGAAGAAGAGGATTGGAGTGGCAATGCAGGGGGACAAATTTGTGTCATGTTTTTTAGAAAGGTTGGCCCCCACTTCTGTATAAGAAGCTTGAAATGGATTGATTTTTATAAAAGGCCACAAGTAACAATGTTTGAACTGGAAATCTGCTCTGAATCTGAATTTTCATGAGGTCAGTTGTGTTGGGAATTACCACTGAAATTTGACAGTCACAGAGTGACCTGTTCTTCAAAGCTCTGGAACTGATTTCCAAAATTCCATGGCCTAGAGATCTAGCAGTTTTTTTTTTCCATGAGGGATGCCATGTCTTTAACAAACAGCAGATTTCACAGCATTTTCATCTATAGTTAAACTTACAGGTAATTGATGAGTTAAAGACTTGGAAAAAGATGGCTCGCTGGTGCTGACCAGAGAACATAGGAGACATAGTAGCACAGAATGACATGCATTTGATTTTGCTGTGTTCTGATAGTGTTTTCTATACATGTACACAGGGAAGATATAGTTTTTCAGATTTGAAATCTGTATTTTTTTTTAATGGAAAATGAGGGCAAAATATTTGTTAAATGTATAGCATATGGATACCTATGAAGTAACTTAT